TCTAAGTTCAAACTGAGCAAGAACAGATCAAACGTGAGCAGTGAGTAAAAGCAAATACATCATATTTTATTATGCATACGACAAGCACCTTTTACTCAAAAAATCGAGTCCGAGCTCAAGCTCACGTTTTATGCATGAGACCCAGTATGTTCGAATTCCCCCAATCACGGAATAGTAACATCAATACACAGCCAAAACTGTTGTTTAATTTAGAATTGTATAAAAATGCTAAATGCTGTATGCGCTACGATTTATTGCAACCAGTGTTGCCAAAACTTTTGGCTTGGTTGATAAAAAATGCTAGTGCCAAATTGTGCTAAAACAGTGCTAAAAAATCTGTATTTCTTAACCCTTTGTGGCCCAATTTTGCCCAGAGGCAACAAAATGTTTTAGATCTTATATTTAAAATGCTGCTAGTAGATATATATTCTTGGGATTTCATATGTCAAGTCCTGATTATGGACGAAACATATCAGAAGAAAAATCTAAAAAATTCAACTTTTTCGTAAAGTTATAAGCTTTTTGATATAGAGAAGAGGGCAAAAATGTGTACAGTACTAATTTGTGTATACAGTCCAAATTATTTAAATCGCTTCGTATTTGAAATGTACAAATTCTGCCATCAGAATTATTTTTAATTCTTGTAAAACAGAATATATAAAATCTATAAAATAATTTTTTCGTCGATTTTGCATTTGGTTTTCTTGATATTGGGCTTTTATTTTTCAGAAAGAATGTACTGTATCTCCCGAATGCAAGGATGTAGGGATGTCAAATTTTGTCCATATCCTATCTAGGATAGTTGCATTAAATCTGTGAACAGAAAATTGTTCTATGATTACGGAAAAAAATTCGGGGCTCAAAGGGTTAAAAATGTATTATTCAGACAAGGTGAAGTGAGTGTATATTCACTTGAAAACCCATTTATTCATAATCAGAATACAATTCTATGTCGATTTAGCTATGTCCGTTTGTCTGATTAAATAACCTTACGTCGCGCAATAATGAACACAGATCTTGGAAATTTTTTGGTATTGGTATACGCCCCAATATTCGATATTTTGAAGCTTTGGGGTAGTTTTTCAGCCTAATTTGGTATTTTGGGTTCTCCCTGTGTACAAAAACTTCCTATTAAAACTGTCAATAATGGTCAACGTTTTACAAACGAATTCGTTATATTTTGATATTTGGGATTCTCATTGGATAAAAATAATCTATACCAAAAATTATTAATATGGGACAATGTTTCGGAGTAGCCTTCATAGATCGGTACCTCCATTATTCGTTGTTTTGGTAATTTGAGGCACGTTTTTCAACCAATTTTATATTTTGAATCTTCAATGTCCAAAAATCTCCAATTTTTCGTATTTTGATGGTTATAACGACATTTTCCCACCAAAATAACTGTAATTACAGAATGCGGGGTTTGCACATTTCAAGATTTGAACATAGGCCTCAAATATAAGTACCGCTCTATTTTCGGTTGTTTTAAGGTTTTAACAGCATTTTCTGGGTTCTTTTAGTGAGGAACATATTTATGCGGAAACTTTTCTAAGTAGATCTATGTACATATCTTTCATTGAAAAATTCCCGTTCTATTTGCGTACTTTTTAGAACCATTTTCTCATCGATGTGACTTTTTCGGTACTCTGAAGTGGTTATTATTTGGCTTTCTGGGTTCCAAATGAGTATATAACATTTTTTCCAGAATGTTTTCAATTTATCAAACAATTGCTTTTATCCAACATTTTTTCTTCTTAAGTTACTAACATTTCTATGAACAGAACAATAAAAAATATTTTTCCCAGAAAAAATGTGTTTAAAATTATAAAGAGAATTAATAGCTGTGTTCCCAAACCTGCAATATAGTACTATATTGTACTAGTTTTGCAATTGTTGCTAGAAAAGCGTTTCCTTACGCCAAAAAGTAGGAAAAATTGAAGTTAAATTTAAGAGAGTTAAAACCAAAATGGCGTTCTCTTCTCCTATTTTCTGCAAGACCAATTTGGCCTAGCACGAAATAGTAAATGTAGTAAATTATGAATTTGACATTTGATTGCCAGAGATATAGAGTCCGAAATAAAGCATATGAAAGTTAGGGCTTCAACAAAAGGGACACACGCACAGACGCACACACATTTGCTTTAAAAAAAAAAAAAACAAATAAGAAATTTAAAAATGGACAAACAGTTTTTTTTATTCTCTTTTGAATGAAGATGAATGGCTGGCAGAAGATTCAGATGAAGATACTTTGAATGAAGACTTCGGTTGGTCAATCGTACCAAAATATCTTGGGCTTAAGACAAGTTTAGGGGCTCCACTTGGATCGCTTTGACATTTTTACAGTAAGTAGTCCTCGGTGAACTATTTACAGTGCTACTTCCCGAGATATGGGCCTTGAAAGTTCGGAGAGTATGTTGTTTTAATTAGCCGTATCATTTTAAAGGTTATAGTTTGTGTTATATAACTAGATGAAGAATATATTGCGTAGCCATGTATGAGCCTGTCCATATGTGAATGTCTTATTCTTAAGTTCTCTAAAAAATACGCGGCATAACCTTTTAATGATACCCATATTGCCTTGGTGGCAATAGAAAAAGGGTTGTTTTAAACAAAATATGTTCCGAAATATCAAGACCAATATCTCGGGAAGTATACATTTTCCCACATGAAATGTATATCACTGTAATCCACGCAAGGAGGGCTACTTACGGTAATCATTTCAAAATGATCCGAATCGAGCCCCTAAACTTGACTTGTTCCATATCTTGTTGTTCTAGTTCGCATAATATATACCAATTTCAATAGCATTAACATTATGGGAGCGTCCAGCCATGTAAGCCTTTCCGGGCTTGGAAACTCCACTTCCAAATATTCAATAAGGCGCCGTTTAACTTTTTTTGTGTATTAGGTTTCTGTAGTATTTTTTTCGTCCTTAACAAATGAAATTTTTGATTTTGACATTTCTTCATGTTTTAACTATTTTTCGTTCCTTTACTTTTTGCGCAAATCTTGTATGTGAGAGTAATTTTTGATAGTTCGCTCTTTTACTAGCTTTACTATCAAAAAGTACGGGAACGAACCTAATACTATTTATTTTGAGTTTTTCTAAACAATTTTACAGTTCAGTACTCACAACCCAACTGCACTACTATTTTATTGAACACAGTTGTATATATAAATTGGCGACCCAATGTTTTAAAACTTTGTTTACAAATTCTTTGGGGCCCTCTTAACATTAAGTAAGAAATTAGTTCAATTAAAAAATTAAATTATTTTCTCGTTTATAACGTATTACTAAATCTATTTTCAGTGTAATATGTTCTCATTTTTCCCACTGGGTAGCTATAAAAGACGAGAACAAATATTTCTCTAATAATTTATTTATTACATTTACTAAACATTTAAGGCGGACTTACGTTTAAGAATTGAATTGAATGACAATTGAAACCCACTGGGTTAACGAAATCCGGTTAAATGTATACGTACTATAAAGGGGGATTTACACATAACATTTAATTTGGATTAAAGGCTGCATCGAGGTTTATTTTTTTTATTTAGGCTGATTTTACCAAGATTTATCATGCGAATTTAAATCATCATGCGGCAGGGTTTATTTTAATCATGATCGAAATCGTGAGATACAACGCGGATTTTGTACGAAAAAATACAACTCTGTCACAATGTACAACAATTTAAAACTGTTTTCGAATGTTGTTTGTTTTCATATTTAACGGCTGTTAAATGCAAAAATTAAAATCAAAAGACAACAAAGTTTATTTATAAAATGTTTGTGTTTTAAGGTGATTTTTTGACAATCCCGATGATCACAGCATTGAAAAATAATGAAATTCTTGTAATTTTTCTTTTCAATTTCAAATTGCAAACAAATATTTTTCTGCTTTGCTCTGTTCGTTGAAAACAATTTTGTTGACATTTTCTTTTGAACCTATTCGCTTTACTGACACACAGCCGGCTTTTGTTTACAAACCTGTTGCTTTAATTTGTGCAAGTGAAATTAATTTTTAATTTTTGCAATTTATATAATAAAATATATTATAAATAAAATATTAAAAAAATCTTTAAAATGCAAACACTTTTGACTTTTATTTTCTTTCTTTTGTATTTTGATTCGCAAATTTGGCAAAGAAAAATTTGCAAATGGAAAAGCAAGCGAAAATTTCAAAAGAGAAAACAAAAAATTTGCCAAATAAAAATCTGCCAGTGGAAAAGCAGACTAACACAATTATACAAATTATTAATTCGCGCCAAAAAATATTTGTTTGCAATTTGAAAATGAAAAGGAAAATTACAACAATGGACATGTTTTTTTTTAATTATTTTTTTTATTTTCTTTTGATTTCGTTTTTGCATTTGGCTACCGTTAAATATAAAATCAAAAAACAGTTGCCAATATTGATATATTGTGAGAGAATTGTATTGTTTTGTTCAAAAACCACGTTGCATCTCATTAGTATCATGATTTCGATCATGATGATTTACATTTGTATGATAAGTCGTGGTAAATTCAGCCTGATTAAGAAAATAAAACCTGATTCAGTCTTTAATCATGATTAAATGTTATATGTAAAACCGCTTTAAAATTGTATAGTTAATCATGGTAAATTCAGCCTGATTAAAAAGATAAACCCCTATTCAGCCTTTAGTCATTATCAAATGTTATTTGTAAACCTACTTTAAATGTGTAAACGTCATTTATTACCAAAAAAATGTACGAAAGCACTATATTTTCCATCCCTGTCATCATAACATTTTAATAACGGCGTTGGTTTTCATTTAATGGCGCCGATTTCAATAATATAAAATCAGCGGCGTGCACATTAAATAAAGCCAACGCCGTCAACCCGCCGCCGAGTCATTGTCAACTCGCTTCCACCTCTGTCCCTAAACACTATCATTCATACTTCGGCCGTGCTAGGAGGAGATTTCAGCTTTAACGAAGAAAAGCTTAACAATAATTTATTAAAAAAAACATTTATTTTTATATTAAAAACTAAGAACAAAAAGAAAAAACATGTCATCGGAAAACGTTAAATACTTTACCCGCGCCGAAGTTGCCAAAAATAACACCAAAGACAAGAATTGGTTCATTATTCACAACAACGTGTATGACGTGACCGCTTTTCTCAATGAGGTGAGTATATTTGTTTGTCGGTGATGCATGAGTGTGTGTGTGTCTGTATATAATTCTTGTTGTTGTTGCTGAGGGGGAGAGGGGGACCAACAAAATTATCATCATTATTATCATATTCGACGTTTTACCTACTTGTTAGAAGCAATCTAATACGATGAACAATACGATGAACATACGTGTGCAAAACCTGACAAGATGGGTTAACAAAAAATTATTAACAATTAGAAGTGAACAAAAAAAAAACATGTAAAATAATAGTACGCAATTTGTTGTTTTTTCTTGTTTTAGTTGCAAGTCAGTCTGTTTGGCCCAGCCACTGTTGTTGTTGTTGTTGTTTGTTTTCTTATTGACAGATACTTGTAATTGTAAACATCTGTTATCATTAGATTCTTTCAATTACTTGCGGCTGCTGCCGAATTTCGACTTCCCTGGAACATTTTTTTGTTTGTAATAAGAAAAAAAAATGGTTTACTAATTCATCGTGATGAAGCAGAAAAAATCCAAATGTCTGAATACACTGATATCACTGATAATACCTACATACATATATGAAGTCTAGCTCGAGCTTCTATTTATTTCGAATTCGAAATACAACTTCAGAATGGATTTTCGTTCTATTTTTATTGGAAATCTTGTTATCAATTTAACATTGTGCAAGGTATTGTGAACCATTATTTTTGGCCTTTGATCATCAATGTGTGGTTAGTATTGTGACGATTCTTCATGTTTAGATCTTGTTTCTGTTTGGGAGAAAGTCAAACCAAATTTTGGGATTAATCAATTCCAATAGAAGGCGATAGAAGGTCGAAAGATAGGCAGACTATGCAACAATTTGATGAGAAAATCTTTTTTGTTTTTAGTTTTTTTTTTTTGCAAATATGCATGTTTTTTTCTTGGACTCTGAACTTTGAACTTTCACTCTTTATATTGTGGAAGAAATAGTATCGGAATTTCTCTTTTGTGTATTTATACAACAAAAACCAGACAATGTCGATTAATAAATATTTTTGAATATGTAATAATAATTAACACATTGTCAGTTCAATTCTCGGTGCTACCATTCTAAGCTAAATTGAGTACATTTTTCAAATTACCCGCACAAAATATTAGAACTGAAACGCGTTTATCTTCTCCACCCCCCATTTTCTATAAAACTCAATTATACCCACATTAAAATCTTATTTCATATAGAGAATTTAAAACGCATATTATAACAATGTTGAGTATATTATATATTTCTTTATTTTTTTTATCAATATTGCATGAGAGAACCTCTAATTAATTTTTTTTCATATTAATCTAAAGTCGTTTTATATGTACTAACTGGCTTTGTGTTTGCCCTGCCTGTCCCATATTTTTTTATTATTACCACATTCTATATATTGAGAGTCTCGACGACCACCTTTCCCCCCCTAGATTAGATAAATTAGTTTGTATTGGTAAACAGTTTTGTATGCCTTTATAACACGTAGTACAAAACTATTGAACTGTCTTGGAGTTGTTTCTTGGGACCAGAAAATATAGATGACTGGCAAATTATTGTCAAATCGAATCTTCCTCTTATCATCATCTGTTATCGAAGGGCTGCTACTCCATACAACATATTTTTGTTTTTGGGGGTCAATACTTTTTTATATGTTGCGTGTGGACCAGTGGAATCTTTTATATATTGATATTAGAATTTGCCACTGTCATTGTTATTATTTTGATTTCTTTTTTGTTGTTGTTTTTGGGATGTAATGATCTCTGCATTTCTAGAAAGTTTTTAGTGACGGCAAATGACCGAAAAAGTTCATGTTTTGGAGTTGGACTTTTTTATACAAATACTCATCATATTTCTATTCGATCTTCAGGATCAATAGATGATAGTTATCATATATTAATATAATTTTATGGTATTGTCGGTCAATCATTTTTATATTTTGCGTGTAGATCAGTGGAATCTTTTTTTATTTTTATACCTATATTGATATTAGATTTTGGCATTGTCATTATTATTTTTTTTTTTCATTTTTGTTGTAGTATTAAATTAATTTTTGTTTAATCTTTGCATTTCTAGAAAGTTTTAAAAGCCATGATCAATCTAAGCGGAGTTGAGCATATGTTTGAAAAAATGCTGGTCGTATTTTTATTAAGTCCTTAGCAACGTTTACTTTCATAGTAATGAAATTAGAAAAAAATGTGTTGAAGTTTTTTTTAACATTTTTGTGGTTGCGTCTGGATGAGTGATTATTTTGTATTTGAAATGTAACTTGGAGAGACTGTTTTTGGAAAAATAATTTACACAAGAAATTTTAGCTTTTCTCTAGCTTTCATAAAATAAAAATGTTTTTAAAAGAGCGATTAATATTTTGTTTCAAAAGGATGGTGAATTAAGACACATTTAATTCAAATTATTTGATCATTCTATTCATTTTGTCTTTGAATTGTTGGTAAATAAATTCTTCAGGTCATGTTTCACTAATAATTTGTTCCGAATTTTTTTCAAAATTTGGAACGAAACTCTGCCCAAATTTCGAATTTGTACCGAAAATAAAATAAAAAAAAAATAGGAAGAAAAATTCACTCGAATGTTGAATTCATAAAAAATCTGGTGAAAAGAAGAGAAATTTTATGAAAAAAGTAAAATTAGACAATGGGCAGAAAATAGAAAGATATTCGGATCCTTTTACAGAAGTTCTAAAAAAATCGAGCGTTTGATCCGAAATTCAAAAAATTGTCGGAAGTTTGTTCAGAAATTCGGAAACAATTCTGAATACTTTTGAATGATTTATTCGAAAATTTGTAAAACAATTCTGACATTTGTCGGATGTTTGAATCGAATTTCGGCGAAAATCTGAATATTTTCTAACAAATATGGTATGCGTATACATTTTGTTTTTTGTTTTTATAAATACACAAAGGCACTTATTTTTTATATTTTTATACAAATCTTAAACACATTTCAATAAGTTTCCGTTTCTTCTTTTTAGCGATGGGTGCTCCTATATCTTCCTATTTACCAAACGAAACGTTTCCTTTCATAAATATTTCTCCATGGTCCTATTTATATTTTGCTGAATAATTTGTTAGCTCGTTCTTTGTTTCTTCTTATTATAGTTCGACGTGATATCAGAGCCCTCGGCAAAAATTGTCATCTGAGATGTGTCAAATTTTCAAAATATTTACACTTTGTGGAGGAGGTATTAGAATAAGTGGACCGAGGGATACCCTCGATTATTTGCAAATTTTGAATCAAATAGGACATTCCATTTGCTTGATATTGGATCAACTAATTTTAAAGATTTTAACCCATTGCATGGGAGGTACCACAAGGAGTGGATCGATGGGTCTCATCTTCGGACATGATCTACGTTTGGTGAATGTATTACGATGTGTAAAGTTTGGATCAAATCGAGAATTATTGTGCACACCATACAGCCACAAAAACACACAGACAGATAGATGGACGGACGGACGGACGGACATTTGTAAATCGACTCCAAATTATCTGAAACGGATTTTGTCCAAAGAAACATGAGCTCTAAACCCAATAATGCGATGAGGCTTACTTTTGCCGTATCAAAGTAGATATAGCCTTATTATTAGCCATAAGGCTGAGTGTATAAAAACAAGGCTCTAAAATACTGAATTTAGAGGCGATTTGCGTCTTCAAAGTTTTCAATTGTTATTTTGTATCGATTGTTTTGGTTATCATTTACTGCAATCTACCACACTACTTTTTTCGGCTGATGAAATTTTCATTTTAATTTCACTAACAATTTATAAAGCTGTTCATGTGGGCGTTTTCCTCTATTTTAATAATTGATTATACCAATTATATCCATTTCCAATACTCCAATTCTCCAATTTCCACAAGAAAATTGACCTGATTTTATGCTGAAATATTTTTAATATCATATATACCCCTCTTACTTCATTGTTTTTGTTTGGTGGGGTGAAATATGATATTTGTCGCGTGCTTTAAATTGAATGTCAAGCAATTTGATGAGCACAAACAAAAAAAAAGATTTTATTTTTATAGTCAATTGTTATGCCGTTTAATAAATCCGTCAATACCCACCTTCGCTTAATTGCATTTGAAAATTGCGCATTAATTGAAAGTGTCTTCTTCAAATGTGACAATCTAAATTCTGTTCACATTGTAAAAAGTGTTGAATGTTTTGACATATTTGAATATTCATATTGATTGATGTTGGAGGTGTTAATGAATCCTCTCTCCCTTAAAAAAAAAATGGAAAAGCGCAATTTTATACAAAATATATCGCAAGGGTAGAGATAAACATGATCATCAGTTTTGAAAAAGATTTAAACCAAATTGTTTCTAATTCATGAAGAAATGTGAGACAATGCAAATTGTTGATGTGATAGAGAATTTCTTTGTACAGTGAAATATATTTAAAAGCCTGAAATATATATGCCTAAAATTTTTCAATTTGTTTACCATACAAAAATCAAATAATTTTGAACAATTTTATTCCATCCTGCTGCAATATGTAACCCCGGCTTTCCAGTAATTAATTTGATTTGACCTTTAAGATGACATGTTTTTTTCGTATTTATGTATTTTGTAATACAAAAAACTTCATGTGACTTTTTAGGCTTGAATATGTAAACCTGTAGTTTTACTATAATTTCTGTGAAAATGTGGTTCTCGATCGCACCATCGATTTGGTTAAGAAGACAAACAGTTGTCGTTGATTTTTAACCCGTCAATATTATGACCAGTAAGAGAAAAGATTTCCATACATATCTCAAGTAACCCTATTTGATGACCGGATATTAAATATTTAGAATACATAGTTCATGTTGTCCATGTGGTGTGTAGGTTAAACACGATGAACTCTTAACTTCACTTTTACAGCTTTTTTTAGTTACAAATCTTATCAGTTTGGGAATACATAGAATTCTGACACCATGCTTTTTGTTGTATACCTTGCGATGTGATAAAGTTTTTTTTTTGTTGGTTTTTGTATGATAATAGAACTCGGTACATGACT